GGACCACGGTCGAAAATCTAGTCTTTGCAATAGGATAAAAAATTCTATAACAATGGAATAGAAAATTCAATATTCTTTGCAAGTTGCTGCAGGATATTAGAAACTTAAGATGAACAGATGATAAATCGTCTGTGGACTTCAGTAGATGCAACATGTTACTCAGTGCCGATTAGAGATATTTTCCTTATTAAAAATACATCTAAAGCAGCATAAGTAATGCAATTGCATTTGGTTGATTGTAGTGAATTTCGCAAGCAGATTAGTCGTTAACACTAGAACTAACAGACTTCTTAATGATTAAAATATAACACATGCTTCTCTGCGATTTAGTAATACTCCAATTGAATCTTAAGTCAATTGAAATCTCAGTATTCATTCTTAGAGTTCGAAATGCTGATTTGACTTTCGGTAGTTCCAGTGTCAAACTTATTTCTAAAAACCTTCTCGATCTGTTTCCTTGCGAACTACCGTCTCGACCGGTTGCGGCCCTCGAAATGTTTGAAAGCTAGTGTCAACCGACAGCAGTTTTCCCAGCGGGCAAGACAAAAACATCCGTTATCGGCAGAGTCTGTCGTCACCTCGATTATGGGGATACAGTTTATAGGACAGGCTCGAGTGCGCGCGAGGCATCCGGTATATTCAGGGGAGGCGATGCTGTTGCTCCCCGTTTACGTTTTTCGTTCGCCGGGGATTTAACCGCGTTTCTACGATCTTTGTTTACTTCCGGCTGGATCAAGTCGCCGGCACGACATTACCGGCGCATTTAACGCGGTACGCGAACCGAACGGGACACCGAGCGCGAGATTATGTTATTATTTTATGCACGCGTAAACGCTCCTCGTTTTGCTCGTCGCCTGGTACCGCGGCGTTCGTACAAATTCTAATGGGTCTTAACGCGGTTTTGCTCTTGTTGTTTGTAATCTGGCAGAACTATCCCCCCGGGAGCGTAAATCGCCGGCTGTCGCGCGGCGGAATTATCGGATTCCCGATAACGGTGTTCTCCAAGTGTCCCCGAGTTAAACGCTGCCGCGTTTAGAGCTTAATTCGTTCGCGGGAGTTCGATACCTTTAATCTTGGATTGGCAAAGCGTGGTCTCTGGAATTTCATGGAATCTTTTTCTAACGAACGCCGGCCTGGGCGTGTTCGTTTGCGAGCAGAATTTTTATCGTGGTCGTTTTGCCACGTTAACTGTATTTCCTCGAAGGAGATTTTAGGAGTATTAGAATCAAATGAATTGCTCCGTTATCTCGACAGATTTTTGTAAGAAATATTCAAGAATAGATAAATTTCTACTGAAACGATAGACGTTGATGAATACTACAATATAAATCAACGAGGTGAAAGGTGAAACATTAGAGAATAGATAGAAACTAGCAAGACAAAGCATTATCAACATACACGTTACAATTTCAAGCGTTCTCCCTAACAATGAATTTTCCCATTGATAATCATGAAGAAATACCTAATAAACAGTGCTAATAATCCTCGTAGAACGCCGCTGTCACGGTCACTAGAATCTCGATGTTTGCCTAGTTTCTAATACAGAGTACTAAGTTTCATCGGCATCCACAAAACAGCACGTATCGAATTCCTATTACAAACGGACGAAAATAACGCACCGCATACCTCATCAAAAAGTTAATCGAATTCTCGCGGAGTAACGGTGGCGCGGAGCCTTCACGATCTAACATAAAACGCAAGAAAACACCTGAGATTCGAGATCAAAGAATTCGAACGGCTCGGTGGTTCCCTTCCGCGCGTGAGAATGGAAGCTGCTCCGAGCGGGGGAATTGCGTGAGAAGGCGCAGAGGGGGGGGCGACCCTTTCGACGCGTATTAATTAAAAGCCGAGACACTAATTGGCACCGGGCGAGGATTATCTGGCCGATGAACGGAAATACTGGGTATCGTGAACGCGGTCCATTAAGCCGCGACCTTCCGAACCCCGCCGGGGCACGATTGTATCTCTCGTTTCCGATTTATGCCCCCCTAGTCGGCCCCTAAGAATCCTCCAGTAACACGGGATTAACACCTTGATTACGTCGCTCGAATTTGGCTAACGCCACTTTCAAACTGAACACCTCGTAACGATTCCAAATCGAATATACGAAATATACAAACAGTAAACGCCATTTAATTCCAGAAAACTCAATTTAACCTTTGCAGACGAATGTTGATATTTTGAAAGACTCGCGAGTAGACAATTGAATTAGTCAAACATGAGATCAGCATGTATGAAAAGTTCTATTCTTCTAGTAGATTATGCAGGATAAGTGAATCCTGATGAGCCTAGTTGCGAAGGAAATTATAGAACTGGTTAATAATTCATTTTCTTAGTGGTATATCTAATGAACCTAATTCTCCGAGAGCTACGAGACGCAGGAGGATCTATAGAGCAATCGCTACGGGAGCTCTCGGCTTTCCAGTCGCCGTTTCATCAAGAAAATTATTCGAACAGTATTTGCCGAGTGCTTAATGGACAGTCATCGCGTTAGAGCGAAAAAAAGAAACTCCGAGCAGCAGAACCGCTACCGTGTTGAAGGACTCGAAGAGGCTGCCGGAGAGGAAGAGGAAGAGTTGCAGCTCGCCCCGTGAGCTAGCGCACGAGCCGTCGCGACCGCGCGAGAGATTAAAACGAAAAACCATCGTGCTCCTTTTTTATGCCGTTCCACCCTCCCCCTTTCTCTCTCTTCCTCGTCCATCCGGCTGAAAGGAGCATCGCGCCTGGCCAACGCGGACACGCTGCTCCCCGCGGAGAATTCAATGGGCCGCTCTCTGACCGAAGCCATTTGCCGTGCAGAAGTGAAGGAGGGTGTCGACGCTAGACTGGTCCGGGTGCAGCGATAAAGGATAGATTCCATTAGTGTAAAACAAGAATGCTGTTAACTTATTGGACTCGACGCGAGGTTTAACACCACGGAGGAACCTGTCAATCGAATGCTCAGCGGATTTCATTAACATTATTTAGAGTACGTCAACGCCGGTTCCGATCGAACCGTAATTATTTACTTTCCCAGATCCGAACGGACGAGCGTCGATTCTCCTGGGAATTATAGAACGAAGTGTACGATAAACGTCTGCAGTGTTAAATAAACGAGACTAGGGTTGTGGCTGAGTCTAAAGAACGTTGGCAAAGTAAAAAGATATCGTAGAATCTTGGCACTAAGATGGGGACACCTAGCATTGGAGACTCAGAATTCCTGGCTGTGAAAGCCTATGCAAATCTGTTGGGAATACAGTATAACGAAGCGATCTGATGGCGTTCGTTAACTTCAAATTTTTCCATGGAAACTACAAGCGTCCATTGAGATTTCGGTTGATTTTTATTGAATCTATTTCTTCGTTCATTTGTCAAATATTCACTAGCTTCTGAAGAATTGTCGCAAAGATGGACGTTCGAACGAGATCACTACCGGAAGAGCACGGTTTCATTCTCGGCGGGTCCGCGCGAGGAATGCAGATTTTTTCAAAGGTTCCCGGCGACCTTCCGCCGGTTACCGGGCGGAACGCGTGTATTCGGGTCGCCATTTTATGGCCGCGGACCCCGGTGGCCGAGACGCGCGAACATACGCGATAATCGTTACGATTCCCGGCGAACCGTTAAGCTGTAATGGACCGAGTACGGTTTCTGCGCCGGATAAAGCGAATATTAATAACCGCCGGCGTCATTAATCCCATTTATCGGGGCGGGGGCAATTGAAAAGAAGACGAGATACCGGACAGCAAGCGGGCACGCTCGTATTTCATGCGTGTGTCCCGACGTGCCACGATAAATTGCAAATAATACAGTCGTCTTGTTTGATTTACCGTCCGGACGTGGACCGTTCTATTTGCATTCCGCGCCCGGGATCCGGTTGGACCTTTGAACTCTGCTGGTCCGACGGCTGACCCACTTCGGACGAGATCAATCCGTCAGCCAGCGACCGGTCCGATTTATAATTTCGCTGCGTCGGCCGAACAATCAGCACGACATGAATAAAAGTCGCTTCGCCCATTCAGGAGAGTATGCTCAATGAACGGGCTCCGAGAAGCGAAGTTTCGGTTAATATTGAACATATAGAAGAGGTCATCGACTAGTAGAAATACAAGTAGCGTAACCAGAACGCTTCCGAGAAGAAGTTGCGGCGAACGTGTGAAAACGGAATAAGAATTAGCGTTCCGACCGGTCGACATCTGGGTCGATGGGTTTCATTCTAGTTTCGCTGTTCTCGGAACAGCAAGCGATTAACCTGTTAACCAGGTGAGACTATTGGCTGACAATGACCGTAGAGACTCCTACCAGTTTATTTACAATTTCTAGCATCCTACTTCATGAGACTTATCAACGGCGGAATTACAAACTGATTCTGGTCTCCCTTGACGCGAGACGAATCATCGTTTTCCTCTCTCCATGATGGTGCTCGCGAGGGTATCGGTATTCGAAGAATCGTCCGGTTAACAAGACGTCGTACGGTCAGTGTCGGCCGCTTGTCGCGCGAGGGATCGCGAGAACGGTTTCGCCGGTTCATAGTCGACTGGGCTCCGCGCGGAATAATGAACGGTCCCGTCCTGTCCCGTCGCGCACGGCGCGGTGCGGCGCGGCGCGCCGCGGCGCGGTTACTTCATTTGTTTCTCGATTGGCGAACCGTGAAACCGTTGAAATTAGTTGCGGCAGACGGGAACGAATTATCGATCATTTTCCCAGACGCGGAATAATACAGCCGGCTAGTTGTCCAGCGAGCAGGCGGGCAGTCGGGCGCAACGGTGCGGATTCCCGTGCGCGAAAGGGAAAAACGGCGCGGCCGTTGAAAGACCAGGAGGAAGAAGGGTGTCGCATGCGTGACCGCGCAAGCCTGTTTCCCCGTTGGGAAACGAGGGGCAAGGTTTGCGGGAGGCGCGAACGAAAAGGAGGTTGCGACCTGTTGCGGACTTTCACCGGAGCGGAACGGCCGGAGATGATCGAGCCGGAGATCGATCGGGTTAGGGCGGCGCGGCGCGGCGCGGCTTAAAAACGATACCGACCTTGGAGGCAGCACAGCAGGACAATCCCGACGACGAGGTGAACGTGACGGTGCATCATCCTTGGTCAGGCGTCGACGGTGCTCTGGCCGGAGATCCTTTGGTCGGTCGGTTGTACGGCGGGTGTAATGAAGACAGCGGCGTCGAAGACTGACGACGGCGATAACGACGACGACGACGACGGAGGCGACGTTTAAGTTTTACAAAGACAACTATCTTGGTGCGCAGTAGGCGGACGTCTGCGAACGATTATCTTATTGCGCCGGGCGTTCGTGATCTCTCGTTCGCCACCGGTTGTCGAGGAGGATAAAAGGCTGAAGGCGCGCGATGCGAGTTGCCGGCCGGAGAAAGGAGAGACACGACTTGGTCCGCTTGGCGTGGCGTGGCGTGGTGTGGTGTGGTGTGTTTGGCGGTGCGGTGTTGGCGCCGTGACGAAGGAGAGGAGGAAGTGCCCTCTTCGACCTCTATCGTCCTTCGAGGTCCACGAACGACTGAGGCGCACGAAGCGACGTCGGTCCGGCTATAGCCTCCCCTTCCTACTTTCACGTGGCGTGCTCCCGTTTCCAGTGGAGGCGCGGACTGGAGAGCCTCTCCATGGGCCATTTACCATTACCATCATCGTCGACGACGGCTGCCGGTACACGGCGGAGGGGCGGCGGGGGCCGTTGGCTGAACGAGACGCGGGCACCGAGGGGACGAAGCCTGAAAACCCACGAACTGATCAGAGATCGGAGAACCATCGGTTTCTAGGCCAGCTCTTCCTTCTCCACCTGAAAACCTCTTACTCTTCCTCTTCGACCTTTTCTTCTTCATCCTCCTCCTCTTCTTCTGCTTCTCCTCATTCAACATCTCACCGAAATGTCCACCTGTTCCGCGGACCTTCGCCAGTCATCCTCGATTTTCGAAGGATTCAACCTGCGTCCATCGTCAGCACCGATGGATCTGGTACGCGGATCCTCGGTGAATCCCGCGCACTCCGTAGCCTGTGAATCATCGAGAAACCTTAGCCAAGCTGATCGGCGGAAGAAGAAAAGGGAAAAGGCGGAGGTTTCTTTTCCAGAAAAAGTGACCGATAACGGACCCTAACCTGATCGCGGCGGTCGCCCGCCCCGCGGAGAACCTGATTGAGAAAGTTAGGCGATTAAAAGTGTAAAACGGTCCGACGATAGTAGAATGTTCTCGGCCGGCCGATGAAGACGCCAGCCGCGCGACGCGGCGGGCATCGCCGATTTACATTTCAACGGGTGCACTTTCTAATCGAACGATCGCGCGGGGAGGGAATTTTCTTGTTACCGACAGCGACATTAGTCTCCTTTCCTACTTACATTCTAACCGGTAATTTCCCGTGCAAACGAAGTCGCGCATTCGCCTCGGGAACTAGGCATTTCGACGTCCACCGCCGCTCGGTCGCCGGCTAATTAATAAAGAGATTTCGCGGGTAGCACGCGAGGCGCGCGGCGATTAATCGCGGAAACGAAATTATCGGGAAGACTTTCTCGCGAAACACACACTCGCGCGCGTGTACATATAATTTCTAATTGAACAATCTCGTCGGGAAGTACGAAAGATTCACGGATTTATTCCCGGAACGTCTGACGGGATTACGTCCGATCCAGTCGAATGGCCCGGCGCGTACTTTCCTAGATTCGACGAAAACGCTGCCGGTGCTCCAGTTTCGGTCGCCTAACGCCCCGAACGGGGACTAAAAAACACGGCGGCCGGTCGTTACACACGAAAGTGTGGCACTGGCCCGAGGGAAGAGAAGGCCGAATGTATGGCGGGGCCTCTCGCTCCGCTGCGGTCGCAGGTGCAGCGCACCATCCCTCTGCTCCCCTCGATCTCCGGCCGGAGGGGATCGTTCATCAGCATCAACTCTGTCCGTGGCATCCCGCGTAATGCACCCGGTACCTCGTTTCAATCTATTAACGCGGATACTCCGAAAAATCCGCTGATGGCCTCTCCCGTTCGGCCGAAAAATGTGGCCGGCGAGGATTCCTCGCGGCCAAACGACTCGACCGGGCCCTCGGGAAGTCGAATGGGCTGATTACGAGTTGACCGGTGTAATTTTTCAATCTTCTGATACCGCGAATTTCGCCCTATTTATTTTCTACTTAAGACGGATACGAAGGCTCGGCGAACGTTGCAGTTTCGCGTCTAATTTCAGGGGACCCCCGATGGGTGGAGTTCGTGATAGATAATTGATGAAAATATTAGGGGCGAGAGATGAAATTGCTGAAATTTCGGTAATGTTCGGCGAGACATCGGCTTGTTTCACGGAACTCCTCGAATAGAATTGGACGGAACGGGCCGCGACTATCGACGTGAATCTCGTGTGGACTCAGCCATTAACCCACTTACGCGTTTCGCGCGGTTATTTCGCCGGAGAGACACGGCCGCCGTATCGCGCTCGATTTTCCAGGCGATTGTTTCGTCCGCGACCGCTCGAGGCACCCGAACGGCCCGACAGCGGAGCGGATCGCCGCGCGACGAAAGGCCCGGTGTAAGCAGCACCCGCGAAGAAAGAGGGGCGCAAAAAAAAGGAGAAGAAACAAGGAACAGTTTCCACGTTCCACGGCGTTCCGACGTGTTCCTGTAAAAAAGTGTCGGGTCCGAAACGCGAGAATCAGGTATTCCCGATCTGCCCCCGCCAGCGGCGAGGCAACCGGGCCAGGTGACCGTCTACGTGTAACGATTCGCATGTTTTTTGCATGTGCTTCACGAAGACGGCCTTAAAGCAACGAAACGGCCGAGCAACGACCTCGTTCGCCGGGTCGTCCCGGGCCGGTCATTACGAAACACGACTTGGTCCTGCGTGCACGGGGGACCGGGCTCGTTTCGAGCGACCGGTGTCCTTGCCGAGGACCTTCGATTCACCGCGGTGAACACCCTAAAAACCGGCGAGCCCGAGATTATTCAAACCGAAGAAGCTCGCGCGTGGACGTCGTCGAATCGATTTAAATCGGGCTTCCACCGCGGATGATTTATGGGGAACAAAGTGTCCGACTGGACCACTCGGCGGCACGAAGGAGATAATAAATTCCCGCGACAAGGAATAATAAATGATGACGAAGAGACGAGAGGGTCATTCCGGGACGGCAGCCGGGAGAAATCGCGCGCGCGAGCGCGTCCCTGTAGGCCGGGAATACCCTCCGAGCGAATTGAATTTGAATGGATTCATTATCCGCGTCTTACGAGCCGGTCCCGTATTTTTCCTCGGACGAGGCGAGAGAAAACGGTCGCCGGTACACGCGAGCGGGCAGCGCGAACCGGCTTTTGTTCGCGATCCGATTTCTGCGATCGATCCCGATCATCCGACCCCCTTTTCGTGTCCCGTCTCCTCGACGCGTGCGCGCCCGCGCGCGATGGAGAGGGACAGGGAGAGCATAGATAGATAGACGGACAGATTGCATTAGCCGACATGCGAACGAACAACCGCCTTTATCCGGCCGACAGATTAAGTTATTAGGTGGCGCGTGTGTTGGGCCGCCCGCGCGCGTTCGCCCGGTAATTGCGTATAAACGCGATCGCGGCCTGCGTCCGATTTAATGGCCGCATTTTCCAGCGTATTTCCTTTCGACACGGTTCGATAAACCTCGGAAGGATCAAAGGAGGCTCGCGCGCCTCGCCGGTACCAGTCCGACAACAGGATAATTTGACGGGAAGTCGCGAGCGAGCGCCGTTGCCAGCCACCGCGGAGCTGATCCACTTTGCCCGATCGCGGGATCGGACGCACCTGCGATCGGTCCAGTCGGCCACGGTCTCGTAAATTATTGTAACATTACGCCGGGCAACCTCGGCACCGTTATACCGACGATTAATTGATACACCGCGGCCTGCCACGTTTCAAGATTCATTACCCGCGTCAAATCGAGCCGAAACGTTCCGCGGGGATTATTAAATCGCGGTGGACCGGTCGGCAGCACCGGTTCATTATTGAAATGAACGGACCGATGCGTCGCTCATTGGTCGTCCGCCGTTAAATTCGATTCGTTAGACGAGAGATACAACGCTCGAGGGTACCCGGCCAGGTGTCATTAAGTCGCCGATGATTTACAATGCCGGAGTCTTTAAATCACAGCCAACGAGACGTTGACCGATCGACAGGATGATAACGCTAATCGCGATATCGCGGGCCGAGCGTTTATCGGGACGGGCAACACCCGAAGAATGCCGCGGCACCGCGCCCACTTCCGGCCGATTCGGTCGTATTTCACGCGAGCGTATCGGACGGAATCGCGAAAATCGATGCGCGAGCCTGATCGCTCAATCGGAAGGGTTTCGGCGACGCCCCTCGTTCGCCGGTCGTGCTTCGCTGCGAGGGGACGCTGGAGGACTGTGCCGGATACCTGCGCGCAATTGGCAGGCAACGGAACGCGAGCAGGTATCTAACGTCGGGGCACTTCGTTTTCGAGCGTATCAGATTCAAAAGTTCACGCGCGCGATCGGATCCAACTTGGCTGGCTCGTCCGTCCGTTTCCCGATGCTTTTACTCGCCTAGATCCAGCGCGACGCGCGCGCGCAACGGTCGCCGTTGAACGGTTCCTAAAAACGGAGGAATCGAATCAGATTGGGAGGCATCAAATGCAGAAGTAGCTCGCCGTGGACGTCGCGAAAGAAATGTTGACGAAAGTAGGAACAGTTAGCGATGACCGGATATCGGGACAAATTGTGCTTTACATTCCCCGTGCACGTGTGTCCGTCTGCTCGCAGGCTGGTACCATCCGTCCCGGCGCGGCGGGTCTAGCGTATTTCATACGCGTTCCACGGGAAAAATGTTTAGGCTGGTCCGCGGGATGTACGAGCGAGTCCGTGAAAGAAACGCGAGTCGCGCCGGGCCGGGCCAAGCCGGCGTTGCTCCGTGTAGAGCCGGCGAGCCGGGAATAGGGATATTCCATGTATTAAATAAACATTTCGCCGCTGTCAAAGCGAGGTATAGCGGTGCGGTATAGTGTCCCGTGTTCGTGACCATACAGGGGAACTCGTAAAGTATGCGACCGGACAAGGCGAACGCGACGCGTTTGCACCGGGACTGCGCCGCTGCCCGGCCATTCTCTAAATTACCATCGGGTCCTGTCACCTCCCCGCTCGCGGTAATATCCGACTGGTAGCGGGCAGGGGCACTGTTTAACGACCTTTTAAACGTTACCGCGCCACGGTACATCTGTTCGTTAATCGTCGCAAAAGATAAGAAAAGAATCTGGATCGCCGTGACCTAACAACGCAAGAAATCCACTATAAAATATTGCCAGCTATTACCGGCGATACCTCCGGTGATGCCTCGACTGCCATACGAGTCCTCTCCGTCTTATCTCTCTCTCCGTCTCTCTCTACCTTCCTTCGTATCCGTTTCCTATATAGTTAGACGAATGTATTAATTCGATAAATAAATAACAAACTGTATCCTTCGTACACGAGAGGAATACCCGACTTATACCCGGCCGCTCGAAGTCGTCGAGCTTCTCGCGGCTTCTTCTATTTTCCGAGGAACCTGTTGATTCGATTTGCTGACGGTAACCGAACGGATCACCCGGCAGACATAATGGGATTGACACCTCCGTCGTAAAACCGGACCGTCGACTCGCCGGCCAACACGATTCCGCGGTGGTTCTTGTTAACCGGAGGAATGTATCACGTACGGAACCGATTGGCAAAGAAGTCACGATCCATTTATGCCACCTCGGCTCTCCTCGTCCTCTTCATTTATCGCCGCAAATTAAGGCTTCTGTTACGCCAGGACCTACGGGAAAATAGTCTCGAAGATACGAGCATTACGCTTCGACTTGCCAGCATTTTTTTTTTTGTTTATCTTTATCGGGGTTTCGTTCAATACAAGAACCTGCTGAAACCTGCCTGTAACATTGTCTTATTCTCGAACTATCCTGGAGTGATGCTCCTTTTTGAACGCCGACTAGTACCTACATACCGTTCGGCCCATTTACGTCCATCACGTATCGTTTGTTTCTTTACTTGTATCCTTCGCAGACCAGATTTCATCCACGAAAGTTTTACGTGTGTCCCATTTTTTATATGGCGTCTGCGGTCTGCAGATCTGCTATTCTATGTTAACGTTTCATGGATAATTACGTTAACACTGAAACTACCAGAGGGTCAGATGACCCATGATGTCTTCTTTTTGCAGTTATTAGAAAGGTAACGAATGTTTCTCTGAGAAACTATTAAAGAAATTCATTTAGCACTACGCATATTGAATTGTAAATCAATTGAAGTCTGAGCAGATGCACTCTTGGAGTTTCTGTCGTGAAATTTTCAAAAGTCAATTGAAGTGCTTGGTAATTTTAGTGTTAAATGAACTTTAATATTATCGATCGAACTTTGTTACTTGGCTGTATCAAACAAAATGGCGACTGTGAGTTGCCTCGTTTATTTCAGTGGCGATCTTCTCAATTATAATATTTTATCCGATAAATCTTCTAAACGAACTGTTGAAACAAATGAAGCTGAAACGAGTCGTTGAATTCCTAAATGTAATTTCGTAACTTTAACTAATTATATTCATAGGATTCATTTCATTTTCTTTATATAAAATATAGGATTGCAGCCGTCACAAATGTGACACTGACAGCGAACGTGTTAACACATAAAATTGATAGTGTAAAATATTCGAGGTTAAAAATCGAATTTTATAATACACGGAATGAATAAAATGAGCTAGTCTAATTAACACATTATATACACCTTGTACGTACATTATATGGAACACCATACGTAGCGATGCGAAAATTGGTACACAGTACCTGCAGTTAACTAGCCTATCGTATCTATAATATATATATTCACACCGTGGTAATTGGATATGCTGATTAAATGACTGGCTGACAGCGATTCTTGATCAACCTGGGTTGCACACTTATCAATAATTGGCGGGACTGGGCACGTCGAAGACAACACCGTGTTAATGCGAGTCACGTAATTGGTTCTCTATGCGAGACAGTAACCTTTGTAGTTAGCTGTCGGAATGCCTAATGAATCGCTTAATAAGCAAGCGACAAAATGTTATCTGTTTGCAAGAATAATTGCTACCTATTAACACGTTCCGTGCCACGGAAATTTCAGTCATATTTTGCTTATGAACTGTATTGATTTTTTAAATAAAATATTAAGTTCTATTCAAGTTTTCTTTTAATTTTATATATTTCGATATCGTTTCTCGATGTTTTCGGTTGTAACGTATACAGCTATTCTTGACCACGTGTCCCTTAACACTAGAACTACCGAGCATTTAATACGATTGATACGTAATCTCTATAAAAATTGTAACAATAGATTATTTTCAGTTTCTTTGGATATTCATCATAGTACTCAAGTGAAATTATTTATTTCCAAGATCATTTCAAATATTCAATGCTGTTAAGGTATTAACTGTGACACAAACAAATCGAAACCAGTCATTTTGACTGGTACGTAGTTCTAGTGTTAAAAATATTTTGTTACAAAAATTAACGTGTACCACATGTTACACATGGCATTGAACGTGTTAATCCTACAATAACAATAACATATACGTTAATTATCATTTCCGGACAGGTGGATAACCCCTGAACGTCTACATTTTCAACAAACAGCAAAATTTAATATGCAATCAGAAACCGAGCGTCCGATCGTTATCATCGACTATAGAAAAACTGATTGCTACATACGCGGACACATCTTGTCAAACAAGTTTGTAACATGGATCGAGATACCTTTTTTCAAACTCGTCATGTGGAAACGATCGACGTTAATGAGGTTAGGCGGCAGGCAGCACAACTGAAACATATCTTCCGCACACAACCACAGAGGGCCAACGAGCTCGTTCAACTCGGCAACTATTTCGTTTGAATTCGATAAATCTCAAAAATTCCCGTCGAACAGTGCATCGTCTAAATTAACTTTACCGACGAGCCAGCGAACGCTCCACGTAACATTTAAATTCCGCCATAAACGTGCCCCCTCCCGCCAACGGAAAGTACTAGATTTGAAATCCAATGAAACGTAACGGAATTAACCTATTCGACTGAAAACAGTCGCGGTGCACAGTGGGGCAGAGATCGACGACGCGGGACTACTTCTTTTAACCGGCAAAAGGAACTCGGTCGCATTCGACATTCGAAGGTAACGATCACAATGTCGAGGACACGACGTCTTGTGCACCGGCAGCGATCCCTTGCGTGGACCGTTAACGCAGCCTCCTTAGCGTGCCCTGGCCGGCTGAACGGAGCTCGTCCATTATTTATTGGTGACCAATTTACGGCCTCGTTGCTAGAGTATCGGCAGCCGGATTACCGCGAATTTCGGTCGCATTCTATTTTCCTTCGGTACCAGTTAAATGGCAGTCGCGTTCTAACGGTCCGCGGGTGACACGTGATTTCTAGAAATTCGAATCACTTGATTTTTGAAGGCGTTATCGGTTAACCGTACCCACGTAGGTCTTAAGGTAAACAGGATTTCAGATAACATCTTGCTCAGACGTCGAGTGAGACTGCATTTCGTTCTGATATGACATTGGAATAGAATTATGTTAGTGATAACGTGGAGATTTAGAAACTCTCTTGATTCTTAGATAAAGGAATAGGAAGGTAATGAGAATTATAGAACGTCGATCGATTGAGTCGTTTAAGTAATTAGAATAACGATTTCAAGATTTCATTTTTTGTATTTCATTTTTTGATTACTGTTAACCTTTTTACTATTCGAGTAACTGTCTAATGGACTGCTTTATCGATGGAGATCGGCGAGCAGCGTTATCGGCGAATGGTAATGGTGATGTACCATGAAATCGATCTCCAGTCCGACCATTGAACGAAACACCGGCGCGTGAAGTCCCTATGATGCTCATAGTGTCCTCCAGCTGTCACTCCATCTACAGTTATCCCGATTCTGCCCGACCACGCACCGTTCTTACCTCCATAAAACTGCGCAGCATTGTCAATCGTGTCGTGTGCCGACGATTAGCCCTATTGAAAATGTGGTAAGCCCTATTAACATAAGCTACCGCCTAGTTACATTTACCAACACCCGTCTTGTTTACAAACACCGCGGCGACATAACCTCCAATTTGCTAGGCTACATAACCTGTTAACAGCCGACTATATGTACCGTCGCCGGAACAAATATAGTGACACCCGTAAAAACAGCGGGGTGCCAAAGCGGAAGTGCTCTCCGGTACCGAGGGCTCGCTATTCGGAAATAAATTTATTCGGTCCAGTTTGTTATGCAACGGTATTCCCACTAGACGAGTGATAAAAATAAGCCGAATCTAGGTGTGGTAAAAATGTCCCGTAACCCTGCTATCACAACGAACGGGAAAGGCATTTTGGCGCCTAATTTCCGTACAGGCAGTGTCCTTCATAGTGTCCCCCAAAAAAGTCACTACATTTGTCCCGTCAACGTTCCGACGTGACAGCTCGCCGCAAGCACATGCAAGCTTACACCGTCGTTACATTTTGAAGATGTACCGGAAATCAGGAAATGGCACGATGGTCGACCGTACTTTCGGGAGTGTTCCTGGCCCTTTCGATGGTCCTGTCTCTTGGCAAACTTTTGATGCTTGCCACCGGAAACGCAAGCAACGGGGACCTCACCGAAGCGGATCAGTGGCTCGCTGAAATCGGCCTGAAACAGTACCGGCCCCTCTTCCGGGAAAAAGGTCAGAATCGAATCGACCCGTTCCTCTAACGTTACCGTTGCTTCCTTGACACTAGAACTACCGGCCAGTAAACTTCTGCATTTTCTTATAATAATACATTTATTAAATTTTCAATTTCCTTATACTCTAGGTATTCATCTAAATCAATTTCTTAAATAATTTAGAAAATCTGTGCCTTTCCCATAATTACCAGAGACTCGAAATGAGTCGTTTTAACCTAACCGGTAGTTCTAGTGTTAAGCTTACGTCACGTGTGGCATCATGCATGACGATTGCTTACTAACCATTGCAATTTTTAGAAAGCGTTTCGCTTTCGAATTCGAGGATGTGAGGCGTACGGACAATTTGGTCTGAGAAATTGACCGTTAATTGTTTTCAAGCGGGAGATGGTTTCTTATTAGACAAGGACCGTTTTCTATTGCTGGCTTTGGTCCACCTGTCGGTAAAGTCCTATCATTTCTTACGACTGGTCCTCGAGCAGAACGATTGAAATCGTCCGTCGTGCGTCCAAACAATAGGCTCGTTATCGCGCGCCGTGACACGGGAACGCATTGTCTGGCGTGCAGTCAATTTCATTGAGAATAGGGGTACCGGATACTATTGATTGCCCCTAAAGTTATCGGTCTTCCGGAATGCATTAATCGTGCAGCAACAAGAACCCGGCGCAGCTCCGTCGCGGCTCTGCCTGTGCAAACGTTATTCATTACTTTGGCAAGAGCTCGGCCACTTCGGAATTCATTAACATCTCAAAGACTTGACTCGAGCAGCCAGAGTTTCCGGGTAGCTCGCTGTCATCCTATACCCGGAGCGCAATTCAGTTCTTCGTTACGAAGTGTGAAAGGAAACGATTCTACAGCCGATTTCCCTGAAAAAGAGGATCGGCTAATGTCCTAGGATTGACTTAAAAACTTTAACTCAGTCTGCACTCATAAATAAGAAATACCTCAGAAACACTGGAAGTTACCTCGCTAATTAACTTAATCGTCGCCTCATTAATCAATACTCGCGCAAACAAGGAACTGAACCAAGAAAGAAGAGTACTCATTAACCCTTAGCAACCTCTATCTGTTTCAACAATTTTTTCTATATTTATTTGTAGCATCACAATTGTACCATTTAAAGGTAACATTTCAAGGACTCCCAAATATCCTTGAATAAATAAATTGAGAAACCGAGAGCACTTCGGACCGCAGAGGGTTAACACCAGAACTACCAGATGGGCCAGAATGACCCATTCCTGATTTCTTATACAATTACTGAGAAGGTACAGACGCTTCTCTAAGAAATCGTTGCTGATTTAGTAGTACCTACACTGGAACATAAACCAATTGAAATCTGAATAAATACACAGAAGCTTTATAAAGAAATTCAGAAAAGTCAGTCGAAGCTTGGCAGTGTTAGCGTTAGGGACACAACGTGGAGGTGTCCGTAGTCCCCAGGCAAGATGCCCAAAGCGTCCAGCACACAAGACACCCCTAGTTGGTAGCCGATGGCTTAAGAGGATCAGGGGCAATCCGAGCACGCGATCCTGCTTTCGCCGGTGGTGCATCCGCAAGTTCTCCGCATCACGTTTGGAGCCCGAAGCGAGACCGGAGAGAGCTGATAAATCTGCGTCAGTGTCCGGACTGTTATCTCGTTGGCCGCGGTCGCTGCCAAGGGGGTCGGCGCTTGCGCGGCTCCCGTTTCGGGGCCAGGATTTTGCACCACGTTTATTGGTGGGACGAACGAACGGATACGAAGTTCCCAGCTGCGGCAATGTCGCTGCGCGCTGTTTGCATTCGGCCGCGCGGTGGTGGGGCATGCCGCTCATCCCCTTTCCAGCGTCTGCGTGTGCACACGGACGCACACCGGTTTTTTCGGCGTCGTCCGCGGACCGTGACGCTGACCAATAAGCGACAGAGCTCCTGATGGCCCAACAGAGCATTCCCGTTGAATAATAAACGCGCCCCCCTCGAACGCTGCCAGATGAAACCGTCCCGGGCGGCCGCTCGACAACTTTTCCATCATGGCAACACGACCGTCTAATGATGTTTCCCTGTCGATAGGAGCCTTCGCAGACTGGGCCGAGTGGACGGCCACGGTAATGGACGGCCGACAAGGTCGACGACAGAAAAAGTCGGGGAACTCGTTAGGGTAGGGAATTCTGCTACCAATCTACCCGGATCCTTTGCCAATGGATTGTTATCCTCTTTGCTCGGCCCTGGAGCTGAGTTCGTACGAAACGCTGCCGTTGGTATATTTTTGGCTCGAGGGAGCACTTCGTCATCGAGCATCGATCCACCTTGGTTCCGTCTAATTTTTTTTTATTCCGACGTTCGACAGGAGAAGGTATTACGGATGATTCGGTAATTTTAATCCGGTCAGAGGAGAGGCTCTAAAGAATTTCCGAGAGGCAGGCTTCCGTCGACGCGGCAGAAAGCAAGATCGGTCGGTCGAGAGGAAACTAACTATTCGGTGCAGTCAGCAAGTACACGCTTCACCCCGCCCCGACCCCCGATCGACCGTAGATCGTTGGAGATTAAGCGTGTCTAGATGCCGGGGGCGTTCGTTGCGGCGCGAGTACACTTCTCCTCGATTCGGCGACAAGTGCGCCGCAATTATCGGAAAACTCTGATCCCGGGTCCAGTGGGATACCTTGAACCCGACGTCGAGGCCCCTCGAAAAGTTGATTCGGAAAGGTATTATTAAATCGGTCATCAGTGTCTCGAGCCAGCGAATCGTTCGCTCCTCGATCCTCCTAAATATCTCCGCTCGCCCCCCGTCATCCTCCGACCCAGAAACGCATCGGGGAATTCAATCCCCGGGTTTCCCATCGGTTTTCAATCTTCATCGAAGATTCCCCGAAGTAATATCCGCGGAACGCCCCGTAGAATCGTCCCCGTCGATGTTACGAATCGCTGTAAAAACGGGGACCTTGGGACTCGCTGAAGAAGCTGACCCAGAAAAGCGTCTGTCCTCTCGATGCTCCTCGAAATCAACGTTCGATTCGCCCGGTAGGAAATTCGTGAAGTGTCTTGAAGTCGTTAAACAGCAAACGGTCCCATCAATGTTGCGAATAGCTACTCTAAGTACCTCGGGAGCCTCGTTAAAGATTGGTCCTTCGCGCGACCTAGAAACGCGTCAGAGGACTCTCCCTCCGATACACTTCCCAAATCGATTCCCGATGTTCCAACGGCGCGGATCTTCCGGAAAATCCGCGGTGTCTCCGAACGACCGTCCCCTATTCGCAGTCAGTAAAGGTATCTTCGGAGGATGGCCGGATCGCGTGAAGGATCGAACGGTAAGGGGTAGCGTGGGAAACTGAACCGTGGCGTGTATGTACTTTTACCGAAATCCACGCCGATGATAGTTCGGGTAAAGCTGTCTGTCCACTCGAGGGTGAAACCATCGGGGATTGCTCTCGAGAACCTTTTTCGCAAATGTACCCTATCTCGAGAGCGGCTGTCCGATTGTCAAACTCATCGTCGCTCTCAGGACAGTATCTCCTTATCAGACACACTCGCAATAATTTCAACACTAGAACAACCCAAGATAATTTCAAGTTTCCTTTACACTACAAATACCATTAACCCTTTCCGGACGAATGTCGACACTTCAGAGAGATCGAATTTTCATAGTTGGAGCACTAAGTGACAAATGATTTAGTTCCTGAAGCAGCAAGAGATTAGTACGTACTTTCCTTTCTTATTATTTAAGAAATCGATGTGTAATTTAGCTTCATCTGCTGAAGGTTTTGTATATTTCAAAGAATCTCCGCTAAGGGTTAAGACACTTTTATTCTTATTATCGTTATCCAAAATGAAGGATCAAAGATATATGTCAATTGATTTTTCATCGACCATTGTTATCTTAAAGGTCCTCCGCATAGCTTACCCCGGCACACCAAAGTTCATCAACATGATCAATCAATGTGCCGGTTGTTCTAGCGTTATATGGACACGTACCCCAAGGAACGACGCGAAGGGTGAGAGGTGAACCTCTCGGCTGGCGTGGCGCGGTGTTCCTCGCGGCCTGGCTTCCGCCTGGTGGGAGTACGAACCGAACGAACGGTCTGGTGGGTGGCAGAGGGTGGTCTCTGGCCGCGTTATCGTATCGCGTGCAGTCGTCTGGCGTGAGTCCGCGCGTACGGATCGTCGAGTCGCATCGCTCTCGGTTTCGGGAAAACGGGCGTCGCGAGGTGGTCGCCCCGACAGAAAACGAACCCGCTCGACGAGCAACCCCTTCGCGCTCGCGGGTCCCTCTTCCGCATCGCTCGTGTTACGTCGCCGTTCGCGGCTCGATCGGGAGGACGCATTAGTAGGATCTAGACGTAATAGACAGAACAATTCATTCACGATTCTCTAACGGATCTCTCGCTTTCTGCACGTTCTCTCCGCGGTGATGCCCAAATGTTTCCACAGCACAGTACAATATTTCTCGAGCCTATTAGTCTATCGTAAAACGATGTAGAAGTAGTCGGTAGTCGTAGATCATGGTTTAGCAGCCGCTCCAAGCAAGAATGTACGAACGATCGCAAAGAACATTCCGACTGAACGCCAGCGTTCAAGCGTAAGGTTCTTCTCGATGGTCAAAGTTCAAAGCTATTCGAATGAGTCTTGATCAGCCGCGTTCCGCAGCACGAGCGATCCCCGCTGAACCCATCTACCCGTCTACGGGGTAGACGGCCGTAGACCCCGACTTGTTTTAACATTCCTCTGTTTCGGTTGCCGGTGAAGGAGGCGAAGACACCAGCGGCGTGAGCATTATGCGTGCTGTCAGGGGCCGCGTACGCGTCGACCACCGTGCGAACCGCGTGCCTGCGAACAACGGTGACGCCGTGAACGAGCCTCGGATATTCGCGTGTTCACGGATCCTCTGACACGCTGGCCGGTCCGCGCCATAGTAGACGCGCCGCGTCGTTCGTAGAAAACCTTCCTCGCGTTCTTCAACCCTCCCGGACCCGAGCCGTCTGCGTTCAATCCTCCTTGTTCTCCTACGTTCCACCCGCTTCGCGTCGGCCGAGCCGGCCCTCGCCTCGGCGAACCGCTAGCACGCTGTTCAACCTTGTCCCACCGTAACTTTCACCTTTCGAAGACGATCGTCTGACCCCCCCGGCCCGCCGCCGCCACCAGTCCTCGTAGAAGAGAATTAGACGTTGTTAGCGAGACACCGGTTCGAAACGCGATACGCTTTGAAGTATCGGGACGCGAGAATCACGGGGCGACTATTTTCACCGGAAACGCACACAACCCCCGAATATCACACACACGCATACCGCAAGCCTCGAAGCCGATCCGAGCGCACGACAACGCGCCCGCTAACCACCGGTCGAAGCGCTCTACCCAACCGCGATTTTTCCGTTGCGACGTTCCAGTTTTTGACGCTACCCCGAGGCGGGAACCACGATACACCGCCGACGGGACGGATCGCCCGTTCAAACTTGTAAGTTTTCATGCATCGCTGCTCTTGGACGCGCGCGCGCCATTCGTACGATCGCGACGGGATGTTTCGGGAGATTTGTTCTGTTTCGTGGAAGCGTATTTTGATGTTTATCGTTTCGATATTGCGTGGATGTTATGTAGAACAGGTATATTAGAATTCCACCCCTTGGCTACGGAATTTCAAGGGAAGTGTATCGAAACCACCGAAATACTGAGTTAAACTAAATTAACACTAGGTTTACGGACCCCGTCAATTTCACGGATATTGAATTTTTTAAACATATAGTAGCAGTTTAAGTCGATTTTGATCCGTGCAATTATGCGAATACGCATTGCAATACTCTACAATTTTCGCGATTTATATAAACGAACACGTAGTTTTCTAGGAACAATAGAATGAAGTGTAGAATAAACGTCCGTAAATCTAGTGTTAAACGAATATAAATTAATCACGTTTGTATAGTATATGACTAACGGAAGTAATTGTTGAATTAGAATTCAGTTCACTTTGCTGCAATTATTGTAACATTTTGGGCCTGTCAGCGCTGACAGTGTATCGGAAACAAATTTTTAAGCCTTTAGGCGCCAATGGTAGCCAAGGGGTTAAAATCTATCAAATCATTTTTATGACTTCTCTATGCTACAGATGTCGATCTAAAGAACTACCGAAATTTTAGTGTTACCAAAATATATTTGGATCGTGTTCTTGCTAAATGATACCCGCGATTAACGTTAACAGTCACGACAGCGTAGCGCCGTCGGCAGACCGCTTCTAGCTTCCATTCATCGATCAGCCAGAAACCTCATCAATCTCTATTAAACCTCTAACTATTCGAAATCATGAATAATTACCCTTCGCGCTCTAAACGCAGAGAAGTTGCTTTCCGCTAATGACAAACGACAAAATCAAAATGCGCTTTCAAAAAGTTTCTAGTTTCATTGTTATCAGTCTCAATCCGTCAGACTTCTGACGGCGAACAGGATCCACGAGGGATCCATATGCAATTTATATTAATTGGAACGCTCCGATCGCCGAGAACCAAAGTTCGCGATAAATCGATTCGCGTTCAACAGCCATAGGATTAAAATTCACGCTCGCAGCCTTGTTTACCCGGAGCCCCGTGCGACCGAGTGCTGTTATTCGCTCGGAGACCATCGAATTACGCCTCTAATTAAGCGTGCACTTCGATTTGCCGCGCTCAGCGGCCGACGGACTATTTAACCCTTCCGCGACGGCTGGTGCACATCTGTACCACTGTATTTTCGAACGTATTAAAAACTTGGAATCAAAATGTAAACGACTGGCCTATATATCACATCGTAGTTTACGGTTTAACATTTAACTACCCAGTATATTTTTATACTGTGATTAATCGTTCAAATGAAATACCGAATTTCTTAGAGGATCTTGGTGAAATAATTTGGGCGATGACGCAAGGAGGATATATTAGACAAAATGATGTAGCAAAGTACTCGGACATTTCTGTTCTGTGCGAAGGGAAATTTGGAAATTTTAATTTCTGAGAATTTAACACTAAAACTACCGAATAATTGACTTTTTAAAATCCCTGTATAGAAACTCCAAGAATGCATCTATTGAGGCTTTAACTGATTTACAATGTAGTTTACCTATTAGCAAACCAATTTCTTCAATGATTGCTCACATAAACTTATCTTTGTAATAATTGCGAAAGAAATCAGGAAGGGGCCATTTTGAGCCGTCTGGTAGTTTTAGTGTCAAAAATTTGAAATTTGAAGATTATTAATATTATTACTATTATTATAATTTAAGATTACTAGCTTGTTCAGAGGTAAAAAACAGAAGTTCACTATTTACAAAATTGTTACGATTCCGTCTTCGATTGGGACTCTCGAAAGAAGCTTCGAATTCCAACTCCGACTTACGTATTCCAGAGAGTTAAATCCGACGCGCCGCTCGCGTGTCCCGTACACCCCAAGGCCCGCTTAAATCTCGTTCCCTTTATTATTTCGAATTTTGCGCGGCTCGGCAAGTTCGTCCGCGCACGCGATTCGCGGGAACGAATTTCCCTCTTAATTACTCTGGGTCACGGAAGCCTCGGACGATCCACGATACACGAATCTTTATGATGAACTTCGTACACAGGGATAATTGTGAAATATCACTGTGAACTATCTGCAACGGCATTTACAATGATCGTGACTCAACTATAAAAAATCTAAAAATAACCAACATTTCCATTAAGAATATTGATATATTATTTTTTAGGATTTCAAGTTCGAAGTTCCAGAGAAATCGCAGTGTCTTGTATCTTCAAAATTGGTATTATTTTTATTATTCCTAATATCCAACGACTATAATTTCCATTTGTCACTAATCAATCTAAAATCTTCCTATCTTCTTTCTAAATCTTAGTAACTCACTAAGCATTCTTTCTTTGATTATACCTAATATCCGACAGCTATAATTTCCATTTGTCACTAATCAATCTAAAATCTTCCTACCTTCTTTCTTCTAAATCTTAGTAACTCACTAAACATTCTTTCTTTGATTATTTCTAATATCCAACAGCTATAATTTCCATTCGTCACTAATCAATCTAGAATCTTCCTATCTTCTTTCTTCTAACTCTCAGTAACTCACTAAGCATTCTTTGTTCATTATAGGCAGAATCTTTTCATCGCGCGATCATAGCCGCAATGCTTTCCCTCGGCCGTAGAAATCTCGGCGATCAAACAAGTTCAAGATCTGCCGGCTCGATTGATCCTACGTTTCCCTTGAATTGTTAATCGCGGCCGTTCGACTACCTTCGTGACCCAGTGCGCCCCAGCCTTCGAGGAGCAACACCGTTCGCTTCCGGACGCATTACCATTTACCTCGTAGCCGGAATTGTTCCGCGACAATCGAAAGTTCAACGATGCCGTTCAAGCTACCGCCCGGTGGAAGGTAACACGGTCTGAGGGCTCGTCTCGAGAGCAGTTTCTCGGGCTGCGACGGTTCCATTTGAATTTCTAAATCGTACTCGAGCGAGCTCCGGGACCGAGCCACTGGAACCCGAGCGGAGGGAAAGAGAAAGAGACGGTTCGCGGAGGACGTCTGGGGACCGGAAATGTAATAACCGCGAGCGCTCGCCGGCGCGACACTGATCGGGGATGGTTTCTGTTAGATTTTATTCGGTAAATGAGAGCCAGCGGAGGAATACGGCTCGAGGGTATCGTGTTGGCGATTAGGTGAACAGTTTCATGAACACGTTGAATGCCGTCCAACCGAAACGAATTACTGTAGTTTTTTCAGTTGAACGTTGATTATTTGAAAATGTTTCTATATTCTAAGTAATGCTACTTATGCTAATATATATGTAATGATTCAATACTTAATTCTGTCTATGCATTCAATGTGTTAACCTCTTGCCTTGTAATGTGCCAAGCAAAAAACGAATATGGATATTAGCACTAGGTTTACGGGCATTTATTGTACACTCTATTCTATTATTCCTAAAAGAATCGATGCTCGTTTATTTAGATTATGGAAACTGGAGATTTGATAGTAATTGGGGTACATGTCAGTGTGATCGCATCAATCAAAATCGGCGTGAACATTTACAAAATAATATTTCTAAGATCCAATATGCCTAGTGTTAGAGTTATTTGAATTGAAATTCTTCTGTTATCTTGTAGATATCTTTATGTCGAATTTCATGTGATACCTATTTTCCAAGAGTTGTTTTATAAATTCATTTGTATTAATTTCTGTAATTGTTAATGGTAAACCTATTGTACAATCATAAGATCGCAGTAGGTTAATAGTGAACAATTACAGGAATGCGTCTGCAGTCAAAGGTTTCACATAGTTAACTGCGAAATCGTTGTTCCATTAACGTCACTCTCTGCGAGTTACATTTCTCTGTTCGCGATGAAAAGAATTACCAAGTTACCAGATCAAAGGGACACATTCCTCCGTTTCGCGATTCAAATGTACCCTTTTGTTCAGAGAGATTGGTTAGCAGTCCCTCATCTTTTATTCGTTCCGCTTGAAGTATATATTCGGACGTTGATACGGCTAGGACGCGGATCGCCCGGAGCTACCGCGTGTACATCCTGCATTGCGGCACTTTAACGCGGCGGAAAAAGTTTTCACGGGAACACGTTTTATCGGGCGGACGTCGACGCGGAAACTTCCACCGTCGCCTGCGTTGAGATACGAGTTAGATTGCTCCCCCGAAAATTCAATTCCCGTATTTGCGAGTTAACATCCGCCCGCGATACTGCCGGAGACGGAATTAATCGGGGATCTCGGTGGATTTGTGCTCCCAAACGCTGACATCTGCCTAGCTCGATGTTTCGAGTGAGTTACCCTAACTTGTTAACCGGAGAAGACAAATTAACTCGTCGTAGACGTTCGGTTTTTCTTGTTTCGTTAATGTTAACACTAGGTTTACGGAACGCGTCGATTTCACGCGGATTGAATTTTATAGACATTATTTGGTAAATGTTTCAATCGGTTCTCGTTGATCCAATTACAGTATGAATCCTGATTGTCTATTCCTACGTCTACAATTTCCAAAATCTAAATGAACGAATATCAACTTCCCCAGGAACAATAGAATAAACAATAAATGCCCGTAAACCTAGTGTTAATGTTTTCGATGTGATAATCGGTTTTATATATTCTTTCTCCATTACTTTCACGATGGCTCTAGAATCAAGTGTACAGTAATGTTTGTGAACTGTCGAATCTATAACTTTTATTTTCATTGGGGAGCACAGTTTACTTCTAATGAAAACAAATTTTGGATTATACGTTCGCTGTTCGGTTGCATTCTGTTTTATCATCGTACTGCCCACTTCCGCTAAATGTATTCTTCAATTAGATTTTAATGATGCAAGGATGACTAGACAAACATTCACACGAAGTTATGAGTCAACCCAGTACTGTATTCGCGTTTGCGCGGAAAAATGTTCTCCGGAAGCTGGATCCTGAAACGTTCACCTCTCGCATCGTAATTCCAAAGGGAATTATAT